TAAAAACTTGATTGTCCTGATGGAGAATGAACCATTTTGTCACAAGTGATGCTGCTTTCTTCTGACCCTTTTCTGCAAAGATTCCAGAACTTCTTTATAGCAGTATTAGTTACAATTTGTTCCACTTTTTGTACACTTTCCTCAGTTTTTGACATGCTGGGCCATCCAGAATGTTCATCATCTTTCACATTCTCTCAGCCCTCAGAAAATCTGTGCCATTCAAACTCACATGCACAACAAAAACATGATCTCCATATGCTTCACATAGCAGGTGCAAAGATACAATTTCACCAAAAATTTCAGGTTGATACATTGCTACTCTTTCAAGCTGGCCATTTTTCTGGTGCACACTAACAACACGTCCACTCGCAGCAGGCACTCACAGCAATCTAATAACAATAGCAAGTTGAGATTCGCTGTGCTTATTCTAACTTGTTCAAGGTCATTTACCCACCCTGGCCCACATGCAACTATTGTGTGCAGGCAATCATAGTCTCATTATTTTCTAGCCAGATCATGTACACACAAAAAAAGCACTTTCAGAATTCCAAGAATATTTTACAATGTTAGAAAGAAAACAAAATAAAGAAATTAAACATATAATCATAATTTTTGATGTAATGCTAACAGTTTCACAGTTTTAGAATAAAAACTTGTTCATTTTTGCATGATATAACTGGTTTGTTTTTTTAATGTGCCCTCTATAGAGAGGTGTATAAACTCACTTAAATTGACATGCCAGAATTCCCCCTGGGATAGACCTGCATGCCGTCATTCTGCAAAAATACTTTATGTCAATTAATGCTATTAAAATTAACAGCTCCTAAAACATACAAGTTACAATACATTTTAATAAACATCACTTATTATAATCAGAATTCAGTTATCTTTCAATATGTAATGTGCCAACATCAAGTGTTACAATGACTGGCAACATGGAAAGACAGTAGGAACAAGACTTTTGTCCTTGTTCATTGTCTTTGTATGGATGTCATAACTCTTAGCTTGTACTTAGTGAACAACAAATAAAGAAGGAAGGTTTTGCTACTGAAATCTGTCTTTCTCTAACAACACAGAGTAAATAGGCCTTCTTATACTTTCTTTTTATTCTAGCATATTCAACCAAAACATGTATATGATAAGCAAATTTTCCATTGTTAAATTTGTTGCCAGTTCATATTAGCACCCTCTAGTAATAGTTGTGTAGACTCATTGCCAGGTAAACCATGTGTTATACTGACCATTATTAGCAACATTAAAAAATAACTTTTTTTATGCAAGAAGTTTGTTTTTTACCAGTAGGATGTTTTATTTCTATTTATTGTATGTTTGCAAGCTGTATTACATCGTCTTCAACACATGGAAACCAATTAAATCGATTTCCCAAAGAAGAAGAAAGGTAAATGATTTTGATCATATGGCAATTAATATTAATCATTTCATATATATTTAATTAAATTATAATTTATCATAATGTTACAAAATTTAGAATATAAAGATATAAAGTATTCATGAACATTTTCATACATATAATTAAATCAAATACATTTCTACAGTTAATTTAGATGTTTCAGTAAATTATTTACTTATACTTGCAACATGTTCTAAATAAATAAGTAATTTTTTTTATCTGTATATGAAATTATCATCCTAATTAATTTTCTAGAAATATATAAAATACAGATAAAATAACATACAGTGGAACCTCACTTAACGAGTATCTCTTATAATGAGCAAAACAAACTGTAAAAAAATGACTCACTTAACAAGTGACGTTTTGCATAACAAGTAATGAGAAGAGGGGAAGTCCCAAATTGTGCACATGCTACATCAGTCTGTGTTTAGCACTTGTTCCATTAGCATCTTAATGTCACTTGTGATCACACATTTTTCCAAACTTGTGTTCAGACATATTACATATAAACATCAACAATCANTAAGCCTTAGTCCTGTCCATCTCCCTCCCCAGAGGGGGAATTTTGACATGTATATTATATAAAAACACGTGCGTATTCGAATGCAGCATTGTGTCAAAATTTCAAAGGAATCGGTAGGAACAAATGAACATTATATTTTTATTTATATAGATAGATAGAAGATGATCTGCTTTAGTTCATTTTCACAGAAAAGCATAACGCCTCACAGAAAAGCAAACTTAGGGCGTTGTACTTGTAGCGCCATCTGTTGGACATAAAAGCCTTAACCTAGATTATATATTTTAATTTATATGAATGTTTAATGGAATAATATACAGCCTATGTCCACCCTGAGGTTCCATTCGAAATATTGGTGAAAGAATTTTTGAAATCGAATGAGTAGTTTCAGAGATTACCTGCTGCAAACAAACTTACATACATACATACAAACATTATCTCTTTATAATATTAGTATAGATCAGTAAATTTTGCTATTTGAACTTAAGTCTCTCTTACATAGATGAAAATGGTATTACAATAATAAACCTTTTTGTTTGATATTGTATTATTTTTCTCCACATTTAAGTTTGTAATTCAAACAAATTTAAATTATAAACTTAAAATTTTAAAATTTGTATTCATTGAATGAGACATCTTAAAGCACTTTTAATTTAATAAAAAATTTCAATTAATTTGCCCTTTTGAAGAATTTAAGTTATAAAAACATAAAAGATTAAAAAGCAACATTTTTTACTAGAAATCAAGAATCTTTAATATTTTAAGTACTTTTAAAGTACTGTACATAACTTTTATCCTCAAAATTCAAAAAGATCAGTTAATCTTTAAATTGTTAGAAGCTAGTTCTTTTGTTAAATTACATTTTAAAGTTTTTTAAAATTATAATAATTTGAAAAAATTTTATTGGTTTACAGATTAACTGGTAGTTCTCATCCTCAGAATCCCATAATGTAAACCCTCAAAAGTACTTAATGAACTGAAGATTCTTAATTTCTAGAAGTGTTTTTTCTTTTAATTGAAATTAAAAAATTTTATAAAAACATAGTTCTTTATCTTAATATATTATATTTTAAATGAATTAATTTGAACCAATTCAGTTTAAGGTTAATTATCTTAATAATTTCATAAAAAATTGTCATTTGATTGAAAACTTGCTTAAATTGAATCTTTTGTGACGATGAATTTGAATTGAAACAATATAATTTACAATATTCAAATTTGTATATTACATTTATTATAATGACAATTAAATAGTAGTTACTTTTCATTCTATGGACAACATTGAATAATAAAAATATTTTTTTAATTGAAATTATTATTATTATTTTTAATTATTGGCTCATTGATGAACGTTTTAACTGTTTTACATAATTTTGCAGAGGTGTAGCCTGCAATAAAAGGTAACCTCTGCAAAGGAAGATTGTTTTGTACGTGATTTGACATGACAAAATTTAAGATGATTTTAGTTTTTTATATTTTTTAAAATTGAACATACAGTGGGTGATCGGTTAACGAACAGTTTGGGTAGTGAACAAATCGGATAACAAACACTTTTGCGAAAGATTTTTATGATCGGACAATGAACACATGTTCGGACAACGAACACTTTACTGAACATAAAAAGAAGTGACAGAAAATAATGAATACTGATTGATTTTCCCTTATCTTCAGGTAACAATTCGAAACCTTTTGGAGCACAGGAGACGTCAACATCGACGCTCAACCTGATACCGATCGGATAGTATCCCTCCGAATTTTGAAACTCTCCCTTGTAATTCCAGCTTTTTGTTTATGTTTCTGACAAATAATTTCTATAGTATTCGCGAGACTGTCAAACGGGCACTCCTTAAGTTTTGCGTTGGGGTTTATTTATGAAAGATGAAAGTTTAACTGTCCCATTGGATATTTGTTAAGGTTTTAATACCAAATTTTGAATTTCATCCGGGCCTTGCATTTAAATAATTTTTTGTGGACTAGTTGATTTCGGTTCTCTGAATTTTTGTAAGGGCTTTTCTGAACTTTCTGAAAAAGAAACTGATGATATTATGATGCCTAAAAAGAGGAGTGTCAAGAACTGTGCTCACTGTAGAAACCGAGTAAGAGATAATAGCCAAGGTAGAAAGTGGGCACAAGATGTCTGATGCTGCTAGACAGTATGACTCGAACTGGTCTACGGTAGGCACAATCTTACTATGAAAGATATATCAAGAAGTCTCAAGCTGTTAATGGAGTAATGAAAATCACATCTTCAGAAATAAAGAGCATTTTAGATCTCATAATGTAACCTGAAACTGATCTAACAACATAAGAAGTCCAGGGATGTCAAAACAACGATCATCCAAGTGGCATCCAAACCAGAGGCTAATGGGGTTGGGAATCTCTGCAATTACAATACTATTAATTACTTTCAAAAAATCCTGAAGAAAAGAGAAAAGCAATTGACATTGGATAGATTCTTTAACCCACAAACGGAAAAAACATGACTAATAAAAATGCAGGACTGCATATATTTATACTGTATATATTCCTTACACACGCCACACTCCCTTTTAATACTGTAGCAATATATGTCATAACAGATTCACGCAACCTCCTGGAAATTTACTTCTGAAAAATCCTGAAGAGAGAAAAGCAATCGACATTAGACAGATTCTTTAACCGTCACAAATGGAAAAAACATGACTAATAAAAATGCAGGACTGCGTATACATGTATTTTTATTATTACATATAAATAAATGTAGTAAGAAAGTNGTGGGTGTGTGGTTACTCTTAGCTTCACTTCAACCCATAGACCTTACTGGCATGGGTGTCCCTACCAGGAGCTTGTGCTCCAGCCTGCATTGCTCTATGGTTCAGTAAAATTACTGGGCTCTCCCACCACGACCAGGTGGTGACCACGGGAGAGTTATTATTATTATTATTATTATCATTATTATTATTTTTTAGTTTATTTATTTCCATAGAGTAGAACATAAGAAATTGTTATAATTGAATAAATTATTTTTTCACATTCTAAGATAAATTAATACATTTGATGTGTTCAATAATAAATAAATTGTTTTAGGCAAACAAAAAAGTAATCATGGATGGACTCCTTTGCATCTTGCTGCATATTTTGGACATAGAGAAGTTGCAGAATATTTAATTAAGGTAATTATATACATCGAAGAGCCATTATATTATGACTACCTTCCACCTAGAGTAGGAGCTTGCCTGGAGACAAAACAACGGTGTTTGTGCAGCTCATACTGCTGTATATAAACGGCCAGTGAACTGTGTTTCCGAATGTAGAGTTTTCAGCTGCATCATGGGAAAAGCAGAAAATTTATCAGACTTTAATAAAGGACAAATCGTTATGGCTAGGAGCCTGGGAACGTTGATCTCAGAAATGGCGTGATTGGTGGGCTGTTCACATGCAGTCATTGTTAGTACTTATTGAAAGTGGTGTATGGATGGAAAAATGAGAAGTCAATAGCCAGCTGTATGCCATCCGCAGTGCATTGATTCCAGAGGGGAGCGAAAACTATTATGGATTGTTTGCTGCAACTGAAAGGCTACAGTGGCCCAAATCACCAGCAGCTACAACAGTGGTGACAAGACAATGTGTCTCAGCACACAGTGCAATGTACCCTTTTGCATATGGGCCTGCGTAGCCACCGGCCTAGCTGAGTTCCCATGCTTACAGCATGTCATTGACAACAGCGCCTGCACTAGGCCAGGGAGCATTGCAATTGGACCTTAGAGGAATGGAAGAAAGTAGTCTGGTCTGATGAGTAACATTTTCTGGTCCATCATGTTGATGGTTGCGTGTGGATATGCCAATTTCCAAAGGAGACCATGGCAGCCGGATGTACAGTTGGAGGGATACAAGTTGGTGGAGGCGGTATTATGGTGTGGGCAATGTTTCCATGGGACGCATTAGGACCCATTATCCCCATAAAACAATCCCCGACGGCTGTGCACTATATGAACATCATTGCAGACCAGGTTTACCCCTTCATGGCAACAATGTTCCTGGTGAGTGATGGCCTGTATCAACAAGATAATGCACCATGTCATAATGCCCGAATCGTCATGGAGTGGTTCGAGGAACATTTCAGTGAATTTCAAGTTATGTGTTGGCCTCCAAATTTACCTGATATGAATCCAATTGAACATTTGTGGTTTCACCTGAAAAACCGAATTCATGCTGCCACATGACCACCTCACAATGTTCGAGAACTGGACAGCCAGCTGATGAGCACCGGGTACCAGATACCTCAGACTACCTACCAGCACCTTGTTGAGTCAATGCCTTGCCGTGTGTTGGTGGTTTTGCAGGCAAAAGGTAGTCCTACATCATATTAAACAGGTGGTCATAATGTAATGGCTCTTCAGTGTATATATATGTATGTTGTGTGTGTCTTAAATTAATGAGTTAAATACAGCTCTTATTTTTAAGAAATCATTACAATGTTTTTTAAAGGAAAAATGTAATGTATTTTGAAATGTAATGATTTCTTAAGAACAAGACCATTTTAAAATTACTAATTCAAATGCAGAAAAGTATTGAGTCAGTAATATATAATGAACTAAATTTATCTTTGTATGTTTTGAAGGATTATGTTAATAAAATCATGAATATATATTTTATTTCTGTAAGTTATTCTTTTTCTAATGATATGATGCATTTTTGTCAGTTTAAAAATGTTTTTTATTTTATTTTCTCTGATTTGATCTGAAAAGGTCAAATAATAAACTCATCAAATAATAAACTCATTTTGGCATCGGTTTGCTTGTAATTGGGGAGGGAAATGGTTTTATTTTTAAGGTTAGTTCAGGAAAATTTCATTTCTTTAAAGGGAGATTATCAGTAGAGCTGGAGCCTACCCCTATACCAAACATAAACTTACAGAAGTTTTATTATAAGTAGAAGTGTCCATCTAACTTGTAAATGCTTTAAATGGCAGCATTTTTGTTTTTTTTTTTATTCAATAGCATGTTTTCTTTAACACACAACAATCATAATCAGAACTGATTACAGGAAATTTTCTAATTTAAGGGGACCACTATTTTGAGTGTTTGTTGTAAGGAGAATTCTATATGTGGAGAGTAAGAACAAATGATAAGTTACAATTTTACAAGTACAGAATGTATTCAGAAATAAACTTATCTAATAAAGCATGGGAGAAACTAAAAATAGGACACTTTTTTTACTCTTTACATCCTCTGGGCAGTAGAGGGATCTTTTTTCAAGCTTTTCATAGGTTTTGCCAGATTCACACTAGGGCAGTCAGGTTGATAAGAGACAGGACTGACATATCTAGATTAGACCAATCCCTAGAGCTTTTTCAATTACCCTAATTTGAACCCTGTTAAGTCATCAGCCTACTACTAAAGAGCAGTAGGCTGATGCCTCTATCCCTTATCCTCCAACTGGCTACTTGTGGCACATGTTTAATGTTTTCAAACTTTTGTTGTAAATTATTTATATTGGTCTTGCAGTTTGCCATTTTTTCAGTTTTTCCAGACTGAAAAAGAGGCATCTAACTTTGACAATAGTACTGTGCCAGTTATTGGCACAGTACTAGTGTCAAAGTACTCCCAAGAGGCATCTAACTTTGACAATAGTACTGTGCCAGTTATTGGCACAGTACTAGTGTCAAAGTTAGATGCCTCTTGGGAGAACTTTACATAAAATTGGCCCATATTTAGGTGTTAGAAACATTGAGAAAATCCAGAAAACTGCACACTGCCAGCCCATTGATTAGGTGCAAACACAGGACCATCTATCAGTATTCAGTGATGTTATACATTCAGCTGCTGATGGGACCAACAATACATTTAAGCTAGTGCAAAAATTATAGAAGCAGTTAGAGAAGGGATGATTACTAATATTTTTAAAAAAACCCTCTTGTTTTGTTAGAAGGCATTGTTTACTGCATCTCAACATATCAATTTCTCAATAACAAAAATATAGTACCATAATGAGAGAGCCTTGCTGTTAAGACAGTTTTAATAAGTTGTGTGTTTCTGATAGAGAAATATTGTATTAATATATGTTAAATTTTTATTTTATTTATGTAATAATTATTTTCACATTAAACTTTGAACAAATTCAGTTAATGTTTTAAAGTGTGTAGCTATTAAAAAACATTTTAAGTTGCTTATTCCAAATGAAATGTTAATAACTTAAGTAAGTTATATAAAACTATTCTTTTGTGTTCTTCCAGTTACTGCATAATTCTTTATAAATATAATTTTAATACCAATATTTAAATAATTAAAACTATAAAAATAACATTTTAAAATTTTATTAGAATGGTGCAAATGTGAATGTAGTGAATGATGCAGGAGATACTCCACTGCACAAAGCAGCTTATACTGCAAGAGAAGTAAGTAAAAGTTTGTGCAAATAATTTATTCCACAACAAATGACTCTTAACTAGTACAGTTGTTAAATTTAAAAATTTTAATTTATATATTAAATAATCATCCATCATAAATAATTTTATTTTGACAAATAGTGTAATATGAATAGAATAGAATAGAATAGAATGTTTATTAACGTAATAGGCAATAGCCTGTTACAAGGGGGATGTTTATACAATTATTAGAACTTTACATACATTAACTTTTCGATGAGCATTCGCCTTTCATCTGTTACAATCAGGGTGGTTGGATTTCACAATTTCTTGATTATCTACACAGATTTATTTCTACATCTAATTATATTTTAACTTATACATCACATTCAGTATGTACCTTTTTACCCGTTTTAAATACACTTCAAATTTATTCATTATTCCGTATACAATATCTCAATGTTTTTACATTACATAGATCTTATTTTCGTTATTAAATTTATATTTATGATAGCTACTTTAACATAGTAGATTAATTTATTCTTATTTCTTCATTTTTTGCTTTACTAAATACTATGATCAAGTGTTTATTAATTATTAACTTTGACTGTCACTTCAAATTATCATACAGGTTACCGTAGAACCAATTATTATGTTAGGGTCTATAAATTTCTTTAGTAATACTTTATAATTTTTTCGCAAAGACCCTATATATATTTTTCCAAAACCCTATTGGACAGATTTTTTTTTTTTTTTTTTTTTTTTTTTTTTTTTTTTTTT